GAAAAGGGGAAATGTTTCCCAAATCATTTCGTGAGGCCAGCACACCCATAATATGAAAACCAGACAAGGGCATCACAAGAAAAAAAGTTGAGGCTAATCTTTCCCACAAACACAAATGGCAAAAGTTGTAAGCCAAATAGTAACATACCAAATCCATAGTTATATCGAAAGGATAATAGACCTTAACTAAACTGGGTTTATTCCGGGGCCACGTCATCTCAACATTTTAAAAAGTCTATCAGTGCAATGCACCCACGTTATTAAGAAAAAAGCAGGAAAAACCCATATGATGGTCTCAGTAAATGCAGAAAAAAAGTCATTTTGAAAAAACTTGACAATTGATGTGGGGAAAAATAAAACCTCTCTTCCAAATGCAAATAGAAAGAAACTTCCTCAATTCAATAAAGAGTATCCGAACAGAACAAAACGACAGCAAACTTCAGACTTATTGGCAAAATAATGAAACTTTCCTCTTGAGACTGGAAGGAGACACGGTCGTCTCTGCAGAGAAACAAACCCAGACGCTGGAGTCAAACTTTGGAGAGCTCTATCGGGCAAATGGAGCAGAGGATTCAATATTGGAAAGGTACCAGTTCTTTTCAAATACACCTATAGAGTCGAGGCAATCGCAATGAAAATCCCAACAGCATAACCAAGTCTCGTTTGAAGAACAAAGCTGGAAGACTCACCAGAGACCAAAAATATATATATTATGAAACTATCATAATTAAGACTCTGTGGGGCGCCCGGGTGGCTCCGTCGGTTGAGCATCTGACCCTTGATTTCAGCTCAGGTCGTGATCCCAGGATCATGGGATCGAGCCCCGCGTCAGGCTCCGCGCAGAGCACGGAGTCTGCTTGAGATTCTCTCTCCCTCTCCTTCTGCCCCTCTCCCCCCGCTCATGCTCTCTCTTTTCTCTCTAAAACAAAACCAAACCCTCTGTGATATCAGTGCAAAGAAAAAAGAGACTGATGGATCATAATGGGAGAACAGAAAGACACAGCTAGGTACGTGAGACGTAATAGACACATAGACAGCAGAGAGATATGGCGGTTCTTGAGCTTTTTATGACATGACTTCTGCTCAGTAGAGCCAGACAGGCTCTTCAAAAACTGTTGCTGGATCAATTAGATATCCACATAGGAAAGAATTTTAAACATATATTTCACACCGTGTACAAAATCAACTTCGTATGAATAAAGGATCCAAATGCGAAAGGCAAAACAACACAGCTTCCAGGAGAGACGCGGGGAAAAATCTTTGTGACCTCGTGGCAGACAGCGATTTCTTCAAAAGGACCCCCTTGCCCCCACCCCCTGGGGGACCTGGGCCGTTTGGTTTTTTTCGTGCTTGACTTGCTTTATGGATTCTGACACGTGTGAAACTGTAAAGTCAGCAGAAAAATCAGAAGACTGAGAAACGCAAGTCAAAACCACAATGAGCTATCGCCTCACGCCTGTCAGAACGGCTAAAATCGACGACACACGAAGAAACAAATATCGACGAGGATGCGGAGAAAGGGGGACCCCCTCGCACTGTTGGTGGGAATGCAGACTGGCACAGCAAACGACGGGGTTCCCACCAGAGTGGGCGGGGCCTCAGCCCCACCTGCCTGAGCTTCCTTGCCTCTGACCTCACACCCTCCCTAAAGGGCCTTTAAAACCCCCTTTCCCTTCAAAAAACAGTGGGTCTGGAGTGGCCAAGGAGTGCGTGCATTTCCTCCTCTTTCAGGGTCTATCTGATCCCCCGAGTGTGGTTAGGTGAGAGAGGCCGGCTTTCAACATCCTTCCGCGTGAATTCATCCCCAGGGGCCCCGGACGCGCCCCCCGGAGAAGGGGGCCCGCAGGCGCCTGTACGGCAGCCCCAGTTCTCTGTGCGTCCCCGCGCGGCTCTGGCACGACCCTGGGCAGTGACTTCCTCAGTCCCCCTCGTGCCAAACGCAACGCAGCCAGAATGGCTTGTTTCTCATTTGGCTGTGTATCGAACTTCCTCTTCTTTAATTCTTATATTAGGCGTTTCTAGAGCAGGGGCTGATGTCACAGGAACTCTTTCCAGATGTTGTTTTGAAATCAGTGTAACCATGGCATTGCTGGAGGCTGAGACGTCCATCGGGGCCAACGGAGCCCCGCCTGGGTGCAGGGCGGGGCAGGAGCTGGGGCGGGGACCAGAGTGTCCCTGGGAGAAGGTGGGGCGCGGGGGTGTCATTCGGTATTGAGGTTCCCCCAGGAAGGACCCCGGGACAGCTGCCCCCTTTGACCTTTATGCCCTGGCACTTTTCATATGAAACCCTCGCTTGCTTAGAATGCGCTCGTGGATGGTTTGAGATCACCTGTGCTCCTGCGAAAGGAAACCGAGAAAGCTCGGGTTCCAAGCTTGTCCTTCCCAGTTCCCTTCCCTTCCCTCTCTGCCTTCCCAGTTCACCCTTGTCCCCAACGTGACTCAACTGTGCACATCACCCCATCCCCGCCTGCAACAGGTGCACCCCTTCCGCACCTCCCAGCCTCCGCTGACGCCCCTCTGCTCACTCACACCACGCCCTGCGATCTCGACTTCCTTACTTGCATATCCTGCCTTCCACAGACACCTCCTCCAGGGTGCCCGTCTACAGACAGAGCCGCACATCCCGTGACCCCCCCTCCGTGTCTGCACCCACACCCTGAAGCAGGACACATGTGTGCCGTCCCTGCCTCCATGAGCACCGCAGAAGCTACAACTCTTGCTCACTCCCCCCACCCCTTCCGACCACAACC